TATTTTATTTTATTTTATTTTACTTCTATCCTGCCTTTCTCCCAAAAAGGACCCAAGGCGGCTCACACTATAAAAACACAGTAAAACTACATTTTAAAAACAATTAAAATTAATTAAAACACTAGAAGATTAAAATTTAAAACATACAAAAGCAGAGGGGCAGGATATAAATAAATTTTATTATTATTATTAAATCAACCAACCCACAAATAAAACCAGGCTTGCATGATTTAAAAAAGCTTCCTTGAATAAAATGTTTTGCTTGCCAGCAAAAGGCCAGCAGGGATGGGGCCAGTCTAGCCTCCTGTGAAAGGGACTTCCACAGGTTGGGAGCAGCCACTGAGAAGGCTCTCTCTCATGTGGTCTAGATGATGGTACTGCTAGGAGGATTATAGCTGGTTAATGGACAAAACCCAAAGAGTGGCCACTAATGGTGGTTCCTCATCCTAGAGAGAAAAGACAGGGTGCTGCCAGGTTCTGTCCAAGATCCAGTGTTGTTCATCATCTGTGATGAAAGAGGAGAGGACACACTCAACAAATCTGTAGATGACACCAACCTAGGAAGGGTAACTAATACCTTGTAAGAAAGAATCTGTATTCAAAATAAGCTCAACAGATTGGTGAACTAATTCCAAACTAACAAAATGAATCTCAACAGGGAACAATGTAAGAGTCTATATTTACACAGGAATAATTAAATGCACAAATACTTGGCTTAGCAGTAGTATGTGTGAAAAGGATCTAGGGGTCTTAGTGGATCACAAACTAAACATATTCAACAGTACAATGCAAAAGCAAAAAGCAAAGGTAATTCTAGTCTATGTCATATAATAACCAGATCTAGGAAGTCATCTTACCTTTCTGTTCTGCTCCAGCCAGCTCTCATTCAAAGTACTGATTTCAATTTGAAGCACCATTGTTTAAGAAGAATATCAACATCTATAATACATCCAGAACAGGGCAAGTGAGATGATCAAGAATCTGGAATCTCCGAGCTGGATATGTTTAGATTGAAGAAGGGAATAATAATAAAATAGAACTGTAGAGTTGGAAGGAACACCAAGGTAGTAATGCCAGCACTGGAATCGACAGGTAAAACATCTTTGACAGATGGCCATACAACCTCTGTTTAAAGACCTCCAATGAAGGAGACTCTACTACATTCCAAAATAGTATATCACATTATAGAGCAGGTCTTATCATCAGGAAGTTCTTATCAATGTTGACTTAGAATCTAATTTCTTGTAATTTGAAACCATTAATTTGGGTTCTCCCTCTGGAGGAGCAGAAGATGAACTTTCTTTGTTTCCCACTTGGAACTCTCCAACTATTAGTAGATGGTGACCCTATTACTTTTCAATCTTCTCTTTTCTGGAGTCTCATCCAGAAGTTGGAGAAGTGACAGGATAGCAATTGTCAAATAAAAAGGGCTCTCAGGTGGAAGCAAACTAGTTCTCTGCTCCTCCAGAGTGCAGGAATCAAAATGGTGGATTCAAATCACAAGAAAAGACACACACACGAAAAGATTTATTAACTGTAGCTCAGTGTTCATTGAGGTTTGGATATTGTTTCTTGTAGTAGAAGTTGTCATCTTCCTCATCCTCATCCTCTGTGTGTGTTTATCCAATGTATTGGAAAAGCCAGTGTGATGTAGTGGTTTGTATGTTGGACTACAACTCTGGAAACCAGGGTTCAATTCCCAGCTGAGCCATAAAATGCACTGGGTAACTATGGGCAAGGCACATGCTCTCATCCTCAAAGGAAGGCAATGGAAAAACCCCATCTTAACAAATCTTGCTAAGGAAAGCTTTTAATAGGTTTGCCTTATGGTTGCCATAAGTTGGAAATGACTTGAAGGCACACAACAAACAACAGTCCAATGTATTGTACGTTGACCTATGTAACATAATTACATAAGCAGGCAGGATTCAAGGAAAAGGTTACAGACCAGCAAATCCCTGGGATCTCTTGATAGCACATTGATGGTGAAAAATCAAAATAAATACATCCTTCCCCAAGTCTGCCCCTTTCTTCAAGCTACTTTGCAGCTAGTTGCTGAGAATACTGCAACTAAAAGTGAATGTTCTGGTGAGTAACACCTTCAAGGAAGTTCTGGAGGCTTTTCCCTGTTCTGATCTCTGGAGGTCAGCAAGTTTGAGGTATTACAGCTACTAAGTGAAAGTGAAAACTTCAAGAGGCTTGCTGTCTATCACCAACATCACTAAATCTTTTTTTTTTCCACCAACAATGCCGGGCAGTGAATTATGGAAGCATGGAATTGACTTACACTTCATTTTGAGCAGCAGTCAGTTACTCTGTCAAATGCAACAGCATTTTGGAAAAGCCTATAAAAATTATGACAAACAGAACAGGCAAGCTCTAGATCTTTTTACATGGATATAATGTTTAAAAGTAGCATGCTGACTTCTGAGGAACAAGGCTGAGGGTTATCTCAGGAAACAGATTTGGGGGTGCCTCTGAAAGAAGAATCAGTTATCAACAATTCTGTTTATAGCCTCACTAGTATGGATGGGTACCATTTTTTTTCTCCACTTCAGGCATTAAAATCTCACCTTTTTTTTTTTGTTGTTGCGAGAGAAATTGTTGCAAAAGATGGAGAATATGTTGCATTTAGGCAAGGGCACAGTATTCTTTTCGGCTGTTGTGCTGGCACACATTTTCCTTTTCACTGAATTCAGCATAAAGCGTTCCCCTAACAATCTTGTTAAACCTATGGCCTTATAGACAATGAGGAACCTTAAATTAAAAGGTTATAGCTGGGGTTGAAAGGTTTATGGGAAAATACGTTTTTCTCACAGTAACATACATAGCATATTTCATGGCATGTTGTCAAAGGGCTAGGTATTTCACAATCAAATATGAAAAATTTATTTATCTGGGAAGTGTTTTGAATTCATTTCCACTCCTAGGTACACTTGCCACATGGTGAAGCTATAGGTGGCAGATTTAGAAGTTTCATCACTCTAAGAATGGCTAAGGGAGGCAAGATAATGAGGACTATTGGGATTCCAGTTGACTCTTATCTACACAACTTTTTTGCTTTTAGAAAGTATAAGTTGCTAGCTCTCATGATTTTGAAGAATAGCTGGAATGCATGGAAATTTGAACAGAGAGCAGGAAGCTTTGAGGTTTCATAAATTTCATAAAATTGGAAGCACATCATAGCTTTCATCAGTCCATAATTCTTGTCTCTCTTACTTTCACCCAGTTCTGGTCACGTTTCTTATCCCAGGGTGCATTAACACTGTAGAAACAGTGCAGTTTGACACCACTTTAACTGCCATGACTACATTCTACATCCTCTTCCTTGAGTCCCTAATAATAATAATAATTCTACAGATTCCAAGGATTTGTGATTTTGTGAGGCACCAGTACTCTTTGGCAGAGAAGGCAAAAGATCTTGTAAAACTACAAATCCCAGGATTCCAAAGGGTAGAGCTACAGCACTTAAAAGTGGTGTCAAACTGCATTATTTCTACAGTGTAGATGCACCCCCAGTTGCACACATCTAATCTCCTCATCTCCTTGATGTACACTCTTGATCAGCACCAAGTATGATTACAAGGATAAAATTTTGCAGAAATAATTATTCTGTGTGACCTGATCAGAGATTTTGGAAACTCTCTGCCAGAACCGAAATTAAGAGAAATCATTCCATTACTATTTATTTTATATTCCACCTCTCTCCCAGCAGCTTACAACAAATAAAAATAAAGAACAGCTTAAAAAACATACAACCTATAATGCAATGATTTTTTTTTACAAAAATAAGAATGGTTGCATTCACACTGCAGAATTAATGCAGTTTGACACTGCTGTAAATGTCATGGCTCAGTGAGATACTTTGTCTTCTCTGTCAGAGAGCTTTGGTGCCACAACAAACCACAAATCCCAAGACTCCATAGCATGGAGCCATGGCAGTTAAAGCAGTGTCAAACTGTATTAATTCTGCAGTGTGGAAGCAGACAATTCTATTTAAAAACATAAGCTACAACAGTTTTAAAAACATGCTTAAAACATAATGAAAAGACATTGACACAGCACAGATTTAAAGCTCTGTCTCTTGCAAGAGGTTCAAAACCAAAGACTTGCCTAAATAAAAGTTCTTTGCAAGGCAGCAGAAAGACAACAGGCAGGAGTCAAAACCAACTCTCCCATAGAAAGGAATTCCACAACTTGGGAGCAGCCACTGAGAAAGCCTCAGCAAATGTGTCTGTGATGGAGATGGGACCAAGGGAAAGCCCTCCCCTGCAGATCCTAAAACTTGTTCAGACTCATATGCTCACTAGAATGAGTAAAGTTGGGCAAGGAACCCTAGAGATAAGAGTAGTTGATTTGAAGAGGGAAAAATATCAGCCAACCACCAGGCTCGGTTTGAATGCATTTTCACACAATCCTAGAATTGGAAGAAACCACAAGGGCCATCTAGTCTAAAATGCCATGCAGGAATGTACAATCAAGGCTCTTCTGACAGATGGCCACCCAGTCTCTGTTGGAAAACCTCCAAGGAAGGAGACTTCACCACACTCTGTTGAACAGCTTTAACCATCATGAAGTTCTTCCCAATGTTTAGGTGGAATCTCTTTTCGTATAGCAGTGATTCCCAAACTGCAACCTTCTAGATGACCTGGACTTTGGTTCCTAGAATCCCAAACCATTGGCCAAGATAATTGAGACTTCGGGAGCTAAAGTCCAAAATAAATGGAGGAAAGGAGATTGGGAATCACTACCCAATAGCTTGACTCAATTGCTCCATATGCTAGTACATTATCTCATTGACTTTTCAACCTGATCCATGCACTGGATGGGATTGGGCCGGAATGGAGCATAACAGGTTTTATTGCACACAAAATTGCTGCTGCACTGCCGGCCGACCATCACCCATCCCTGAGCCATGCTTTGCTGGCTGATTTTGGTAGTACCCACTCAAGGATGGTTGGCCAGCAGTTCAGCAGCAATTTTGTGTGCTATAAAACCCGTTTTGCCCCATTCCAGCCCAGTCCTGTTCCATGCACGGATTGGGCTGAAAAGCTAATGCAATAATCTCCCTAGTCTCTGGAGCACTAGAAAACAAGCTTGTTCCATCCTCAGTATGACATCCCTTCAAATATTTAAATATGGCTCCATGTCACTTTTTAACATTCTCTTCTCCAAGCTAAAATTACCCAACTCCCTAAGCCTTTCCTCATAGGGCATGGTTTCCAGACGTTTCACCATTTTGTCATCTATATATTTTTCTACTTACAAATGAAAAGTTAACAGAAACCCAAGTAACTTTAAGTCCTGCATCTACTGGGGCCTTGCTTACTCACAGCATAGCTATGTGACAGCAATAAGATTTTTTTTAAAAATACCCTTTATGCCCCATGATTTGGGAGTATTTTTGTATTATTTTACATTCACTGTGAAACATATTGCAGCATAAAGTGCCCCTCCCAAAATAATAATAATAAAAAACACCCCATGGAGAGCTGGTACAATGTGAAACATAATTAGGTAGCACTTTGTTAAAAGTCAGCAGCAAAACCTAACAAAGCCAAGTCCCAGATTTATATGCATGTAACTGTATAATACATAATTGTCAACTGTTCCGAAAAGATCTAATTTTGATAATGCATATTGAGATTGGTTGTCTGTTTTGTTAATGAGGGGCCTGAAAAACACTTGGCTTGACAGCTCTAAAGGCAAATACCACTGAGCACAGCCAGAGAATGCAGAGCCAGGGGGATACTATATATATATATATATATATATATATATATATATATATATATATATATATATATATATATATATATAGTTTAAAAAAGAAAGAAGAAAAAGGAGAGCTTTTCTCAGAAATGAGAAAGAAAAATAGGGTATTCACAGAAATGTATTGCTTTCCTAAATAATATGGCTTACCTGATCCAGTTTAAAATTTAAATTGGGCAGCATCCTGATATTATCAGAAGGATTTAGCTACCGAAATCACCACCCAGCTCTAGCCCAGTTCATCCCTGCTCCCAGGGCTGATCTGGCAGCCTTTTTCTTAAACCAGAAAACTCCCGAGGCATGCTGAGTGGCCCTGGGTGTGCGATGGACTTGGGATGGACCCGGGCAGCAGTTTCGGTGGCTAAATCCTTCTGATAATATCAGGATGCTGCTAGATTTAAATTTCAAACCAGATCAGGTAAGCCGTATTATTTAAGAATGCAATAAGCTTCACAGTTTACAGCAGACATTGAATTATCCTGCTGAAATATTAAGAATGCTACAAAACAATATATTCATCTACTTTTGACAATTTATAATTGATGTCCACAGTTTCAGTTCCAAGTCAGCATTTCAAGGGCTCAGTTATAAGCCAGATGCACACCTGAAAAGAGGAGTAACAGGCAAGAAGGAAGAAGAATGGCAACCTTCAGCATATAGTCAATTTGTTTCTCTTTCCTTCTCTTTCTAACCTCCTCCTTCCTCCCTCTAGTTCAATTATCGGAAGCTAAAAATTTTAAAAATATTTTAATTTCCTCCTATCACACCAGTGTCTTTATACATAAAGAAAACACACACACATAGTGGCAACAGTCAAACTGGTGACATTTATTGATACAGTTTTTTTTTAATCTATGGATTCAGCTATCCACTACTTGAAAATATTAAAAAAAAGATATAAATTCCAAAAAGCAAACCTTGATTTGGCCCTTTTATGTA